ATTAAAGTAGAAATGGACCAACCAGAGTCCAAACAACCAGAAGAATTCAAAACTGAAGTATCAGAAGAAGTTGTTCTGATTTCTGAAACTGAAGTTGTTCCTGAACAACCAAAGGAAGAAACTAGTGTTTCTGAAATCAAGATAGAGATCGGCAAACCTGCGGAACAACAACCTGAGGAATTCAAAATTGAGATTTCTGAAGAAATTGTTGCTCCAACTGAGCCTGAAGTCATTCAAGAAGAACCAAAAGAAGAAACCACAGTATCTGAAATTAAAGTAGAAATGGACCAACCAGAAGCCAAACAGCCTGAGGAATTCAAAACTGAGGTATCAGAAGAAGTTGTTCTTATTTCTGAAACTGAAGTGGTTCCTGAACAACCAAAGGAAGAATCTAGTGTTTCTGAAATCAAGATAGAGATCGGCAAACCTGCGGAACAACAACCTGAGGAATTCAAAATTGAGATTTCTGAAGAAACTGTTGCTCCAACTGAGCCTGAAGTCATTCAAGAAGAACCAAAAGAAGAAACCACAGTATCTGAAATTAAAGTAGAAATGGACCAACCAGAAGCCAAACAACCAGAGGAGTTCAAAACTGAAGTATCAGAAGAAGTTGTTCTGGTTTCTGAAACTGAAGTTGTTCCTGAACAACCAAAGGAAGAATCTAGTGTTTCTGAAATCAAGATAGAGATCGGCAAACCTGCTGAACAACAACCTGAGGAATTCAAAATTGAGATTTCTGAAGAAACTGTTGCTCCAACTGAGCCTGAAGTCATTCAAGAAGAACCAAAAGAAGAAACTACAGTTTCCGAGATTAAAGTTGAAATGGACCAACCAGAAGCCAAACAACCAGAAGAATTCAAAACTGAGGTATCAGAAGAAGTTGTTCTGGTTTCTGAAACTGAAGTTGTTCCTGAACAACCAAAGGAAGAAACTAGTGTTTCTGAAATCAAGATTGAGATCGGCAAACCTGAAGAACAACAGCCTGAGGAATTCAAAATTGAGATCACTGAAGAAGAACCAAAGGATCAGGATATCCAGGAACAAGTTGTTGCTCCTGAAGCTACTCCAGATATTACTGAAATTGAATCTTTTGCAACTGAATTTGTCGAAAAAGTCTTCCAAGAGGTTAGAGGAGATGACAAACCAGAAACAGCTGTATCTGAACTTACCTTCCAGACAAAGGCACCTTCACCAGTGGAGGAACCAATTGAAAAGAAGGAAGAAGTGCAAGAGGAAGCTCCAAATTTTGTAATCCTCTTGAAAGACATGACAGTCAATGAGTCCTCTGTTCTGAAACTAGAAGTTGAAGTCACTGGTATACCAGCTCCAGAAATTACCTGGCATTTTGAAGATGAAGAGATCATTGCTGAGGATGATATAGAGCTGATCACTGAACAATACAAGTCTACTCTGATTATCAATAAAGTTCTCCCTGAAGATGAGGGTGAATACAGAGTGGAGGCTGTAAATAAGGTTGGAAGCTGCTCCTGTGTTGCCTACATCACAGTCATCGGTAAGCATGATCATTTATAGTTGCTTGGCACATTGTTGTTGATAATCAGAATGAACTTTCAAATAATAATTATTGTTAATAATCAAAGTATATCTTATATGTTAATAACATTGTTTGTGTACCCAGACCTCTTTTGAAGGTGTCAATATATATCTATATATTCTGTAAATAACATGCAATCATCTTATGAAGTAGAAAGCGTTTTGGACATACTATTCATCAGCAGGATAATCTCACGATTCCTTAATGCAATGATCAAAAAGGAGAGATTTCCAAAATTGTAAAAAAAGATTTATCCTATAAATAAGTCTGAAAAAAATTAACTTTTACAAAATAATTTAATGATGGAAAATGAGAAAATTTTATTTGTACATTGCAGGTGTCGAAACGACAATTGAAGATACAGAAACTTTCCGTGAGGAAATCTCTATCGAGCAGCAGCCATCAGAGATCACTGTTGAAACAACAGAAACCACAACCTCAAGAAAC